CACGCCCCTTAAAGCGAACCAATCGGTTCAGGAAGATGAATGATAATGCCGATTTTCGTACTGATCGGGCCTAATATGACCGCAGACCCAAAGAAAAGTCCCCTTCAGAAGATAACTTGTATTACGAGAAAATTCTGCATAAATAACTTTAATGTAAATTCGTCTTCTTAGTTAGTTAGTTAGTTAGTTATTTAGTTAGTTAGTTAGTTAGTTAGTTAGCTAGTTAGTTAGTTAGTTAGTTAGATAGTTAGTAGTTAGTTAGTTAGTTAGTTAGTTAGTTAGTTAGTAGTTAGTAGTTAGTTAGTTAGTTAGTTAGTAGTTAGTAGTAGTTAGTTAGTTAGTTAGTTAGTTAGTTAGTTAGTTAGTTAGTTAGTTAGTTAGTAGTAGTTAGTAGTTAGTTAGTTAGTTAGTTAGTAGTAGTTAGTTAGTTAGTTAGTTAGTTAGTTAGTTAGTTAGTTAGTTAGTAGTTAGTAGTTAGTTAGTAGTTAGTTAGTTAGTTAGTTAGTTAGTTAGTAGTTAGTTAGTTAGTTAGTAGTAGTAGTTAGTTAGTTAGTTAGTTAGTAGTTAGTTAGTTAGTTTGTTAGTTTGTTAGTGTAGTTAGTTAGTTAGTAGTTAGTTAGTTAGTTAGTTAGTTAGTTAGTAGTTAGTTAGTTAGTTAGTTAGTTAGTTAGTTAGTTAGTTAGTTAGTTAGTTAGTTCGTTAGTTAGTTAGTTAGTTAGTTAGTTAGTTAGTTAGTTAGTTAGTTAGTTAGTTAGTTAGTTAGTTAGTTAGTTAGTTAGTTAGTTAGTTAGTTAGTTAGTTAGTTAGTAGTTAGTTAGTTAGTTAGTAGTTAGTTAGTTAGTTAGTAGTTAGTAGTAGTTAGTTAGTTAGTTAGTTAGTTAGTTAGTTAGTTAGTTAGTAGTTAGTTAGTTAGTTAGTTAGTTAGTTAGTTAGTTAGTGTTAGTTAGTTAGTTAGTTAGTTAGTTAGTTAGTTAGTTAGTTAGTTAGTTAGTTAGTTAGTTAGTTAGTTAGTTAGTTAGTTAGTTAGTTAGTTCGTAGTTAGTTAGTTAGTTAGTAGTAGTTAGTTAGTTAGTTAGTTAGTTAGTTAGTAGTTAGTTAGTTAGTTAGTTAGTAGTTAGTTAGTTAGTTAGTTAGTTAGTTAGTTAGTTAGTTAGTTAGTTAGTTAGTTAGTTAGTTAGTTAGTTAGTTAGTTAGTTAGTTAGTAGTTAGTTAGTAGTTAGTTAGTTAGTTAGTTAGTTAGTTAGTTAGTTAGTAGTTAGTAGTAGTTAGTTAGTTAGTTAGTTAGTTAGTTAGTTAGTTAGTTAGTTAGTTAGTTAGTTAGTAGTTAGTTAGTTAGTTAGTTAGTTAGTTAGTAGTTAGTTATTAGTTAGTTAGTTAGTTAGTTAGTTAGTTAGTTAGTTAGTTAGTAGTTAGTTAGTTAGTTAGTTAGTTAGTTAGTTAGTTAGTTAGTTAGTTAGTTAGTTAGTTAGTTAGTTAGTTAGTTAGTTAGTTAGTTAGTTAGTTAGTTAGTTAGTTAGTTAGTTAGTTAGTTAGTAGTTAGTTAGTTAGTTAGTTAGTTAGTTAGTTAGTTAGTTAGTTAGTTAGTTAGTTAGTTAGTTAGTTAGTTAGTTAGTTAGTTAGTTAGTTAGTAGTTAGTTAGTTAGTAGTTAGTAGTTAGTTAGTTAGTTAGTTAGTTAGTTAGTTAGTTAGTTAGTTAGTTAGTTAGTTAGTTAGTTAGTTAGTTAGTTAGTTAGTTAGTTAGTTAGTTAGTTAGTTAGTTAGTTAGTAGTTAGTTAGTTAGTTAGTTAGTTAGTTAGTTAGTTAGTTAGTTAGTTAGTTAGTTAGTTAGTAGTAGTTAGTTAGTTAGTAGTAGTTAGTTAGTAGTTAGTAGTAGTTAGTTAGTTAGTAGTAGTTAGTTAGTTAGTTAGTAGTTAGTTAGTTAGTAGTTAGTTAGTTAGTTAGTTAGTTAGTTTAGTTAGTTAGTAGTTAGTTAGTTAGTTAGTTAGTTAGTTAGTTAGTTAGTTAGTGTAGTTAGTAGTTAGTTAGTTAGTTAGTTAGTTAGTTAGTTAGTTAGTTAGTTAGTAGTTAGTTAGTTAGTTAGTTAGTTAGTTAGTTAGTTAGTTAGTTAGTTAGTTAGTTAGTTAGTTAGTTAGTTAGTTAGTTAGTTAGTTAGTTAGTTAGTTAGTTAGTTAGTTAGTTACTTAGTTAGAAGGATCATAACACAAGGAGAGGAAAACTATTCATCAAATACCATTCAACTCACTTTTAGTTTCTTCCGAGATATTCAAAAAACCATTCGTCCCACTACGCACGGTCCCCGCCCACATGCTCCTGACTCATTCTGCATCCAGCACTGAACGAATATTGCCTCCCGTACTGACGATAGTAGTATTATGATATCTAAAGCTACTGGCTTGAGAAATTGCAGTAACATCTAGGCGAAGACGTTTTCCAAAGATAACATGGCACGACAGGCACTCTAAGATAGATATAAGACAAATTTTTGTATGAGTTACGAACATCAACACTAATGTCATTTACCCTCTCCACTAGAATGGTATAGGGACATAACACTCTGCTGACATAGTTGCAGTTGACAATCAATTATAACATCTATTGAATTTGGAAAATGTTAAGATTTTAAAAAAGGTCACTCACTACTCAATCATGTCTATTCATAATCTATTTAGATTGCTTGTCCATAATCTCTCGCTCTACATTCTTTTTATACATATTTTTTTGCCATTGAATAAATTTTATAATGTTGTATTTAGACGCTTTTTTCTTAATTGTTTTGGATTTTAGTGTCCTGCAGGATTGTTCCTAGAGTGACGTCATCTTGCCTAGTAGTAATTTTTGTTTTAGAATATAAACATTTGCCTAAGGAAGCAAAATATGTTCCGGTATTATAAAGTACCTTTTGTTTTTTTTTTAGCCATTTGTTGTATATTGTGTATATATTGTATTTGTTGTATATAGAAGACATTGTTGTAGTTTAATTAAAATTTCTTAGGCTTTTTAGTTTCAAGTCAACGTAGTAAAGTGTTGGTATTTTAAATAGATCTGTATGGTAAAGAGCAGTATGTTTTTGGGCGTTATTTTTAAAATAGTTTTAATCTGAATGACATAAATAGAATAATGCTTTCTTCATTTCGAAAGTAGTATCTTTCTATAGCCTAACAAACTCAGATTAAAGGAAGAACCCAGTGTGAACTTATTTTGTTTAAACACACAGTGTCAATTCATTGTGCATTTTATTTATAAAATCTATTATAATACCCGACGTAAGTCCACATAATAAATGTCAACCCTTCATGGTAAGTCAACTAAGTACTTACATATAAAGTTATTTGTAAGTCATTACTATACTCATTCTATGTAATCCAGGCGGTATGTAGTAGTCATTGAAATGTAAGTTATTGGGTAAGGAAAGTAATCACTAAACTAAGTCGTTAAAAAAAGTTCATTAAAAACCTTGTATTACACGTGTAAATCTAATTAGTCTTACAAGATGTGAACATGTAATAAACTTTAAAACATTTCTAATAAATAACAAGTAAGAAATTATAGTCGGGCGAGCCGACCATATGATACCCTACACCTGTTATAAAAAAAATGTGATTTAGTTTTCATAATAAAGCATTGTAGTTGAATTGTACCTTGCCTCAGATTAATTAATCAATTAAGCCATTTATAAAATTTATAAAATTGTGGATATTTAAGTCAAATTTTGAAGGGAACTTTGTATAGGTGCTATGGTCAAATGAGACCCTATAATTATAAAGTTCATGAGAGTCATCAAGGCTAGTATAGCACTTGGTTTTGCAGCTTTTTGTTGAGATACGAGTATATTAAACATAATTATGAATTTAAAAGCCCTATTCGTCGGGTTGGGGGCTATGTGAAATAATGGACCGATGTTAACCATTTTCAATAGGCTTTATCTCCGGTACTATAGAAGATCATGTGCCAAATTTCATTGAATTATCATCAAAATTGCGACCTGTAGTTTGATTACAAGGTTTATAAGCCCTATTCAGTGGTTCAGTTGTATGGGGGCTAGGTGAAATAATGGACCGATCTTAACAATTTTTAATACGCTTCGTCCCTGGGACAATAGAAGATCATGTGCCAAATTTCATTGAATTATCTTCAATATTGCGACCTGTAGTTTGATTACAATGTTTACATGGACGGACAGACGGACGGACATAGCTAAATCGACTCAGAAAATGATTCTAAGCCGATTAGTATACTTTAAGGTGGGTATAGGACCAATATTATTGTGCGTCACAAACATCAGCACAAACGCAATATACCCTCCCCACTAAAGTGGTGTAGGGTATAAAAATATATTACACTGAACAAAAAGTTTGCTAAGGCAATTAATAAATATAATTTTGACGCCAAAACAAACCATTAACTAAAGTAAATTTTATCGTATGTACAGAAACTGTATACCACCAACTCTAAGGATAAATAAAATGTATTTACGTGTTGTTATTTTTAGTCACCTTTTTGTAATAAATATCAAAGTGTGTCTTTCTTTCTTCGTACATTTACTCCAACGAAGGACCATTAGTTAAAATAATTTGTTTCAATTACTGTTTGTCTTCCCCCTGCCCCAAAGAAAATCCAAAAAAAATTCTAAAAATAGATTTTATGAAATTATAAAATGACGTCATACGATTAAAAAAAATGTTTGCGGCCTATAAGTGTCTCAGTGACAAAGAAATTCTTTGTATTTTTAAGTGTCCTTTAGTTATTATCCTTAAGTACATTAAACGCTTTACGTTGTCCTAATTAAATTATTCAAAAACATTTATTAAGGTTCACTTGAGGGTGTGTGCTTGTGTGTGTGTGCGTACAGTTAAGGTAGTGAGTTTATTTTTAGCTGCTGGGAAAATTAAAAGATTTCTTTTGGAAATTTGATTACTATTTGACTTTAATAAGTTGCACTTTTGAAGGATATTAAATAAGGGGATTAAAGCAGGAAGGTGGCTACAGCTAAGATGTTAAGCAAATTAAAAGTCCAGCAGGTTTTGTTCATATTTTTTTTATTTCAAACAAAAATTTTGCAACCAAAATATTAAACATTTCCTTGCTTTTACTCAACCAAACCTATAATTTTGGGATTATACATCATTTGTTATAAAAATATAAATTCAAAGTCATTCTGAGTGAGTCTGTCTGAATCTCAGTTTTCCACAACATGAGGAGCATAAACCAGGGGTGTGTGATAGGCACGAACAATTTGAGAGGTAACAGTTCTAACGGCTGGTGCCACTATGGGCGTAACAACTCGAGCATGATTATGAACCACAGTTTGTCGTTGATGCGATACGGCGGTAGGAATTTGTTGTACAACTTCACCAACTTTTGCTATGCCTGGCTGTTGTATGGTTAAAGTTTCGGGGGCAATTACGGTGCGTTGACCAGGTCTTGTGGAAATGGTAATGGGTAGAGGTATAGATTCGGCAGGTAGAATACGATGTTGTATGGTTGCTGTTGATCTGGCTGAAGCCAAGGGTGAAGAGGAACTTAGTGAACTGCCGGCAGAGCCTGCAGTGGCAGTTGCTTGTGCTGACGAAGAGATTAAGAGAGAACCTCTTGAGAGACCAGATGTTGAGGTAATGCTGCTTATAGCTGAAGAAGGCTTAATTCTAGTTAAAGCTGCTGGGGCTGAACCTGCAGCAGAGCCTGGAGTAGAACTTGCAGCAGTAGCCAGTGCTGGAGCAGAACTAGCAGCTGAACTTGCAGCAGATTCATTAGATTCTTCTGATAGGGCCTTACTTGATTTATCTTCGTCCGATATGGCATTAGATAAGGATGGTATGGAATTGCCCAGTGTGCTTGTAGATGATTTGCCGTTGGTTAAAACACTATAAGGATCATTGGGTACAACATGATGTAAACTGGAAATGGCAGCTTCACATAAACACACAAATACCAAACATATGGCAACCTTAAATTATAGGATATCCAGCTTTAACACTAAAAAACTCCAAAAAGAAGCTACTAACTCTAACTTACCAATTTCAACATGTTTCTAATTATAAACCAATAATATTATTCTTTTTAAAAGCAAATTATAAAAGTTAATTCTATTATTTTAACAGCTAAATTAAAACTGATAAACAGAAAAATAGACTAACTACTTTTATAGTTCATCGCACATCTTTTGAAATCTGAATTTGCACGACAACAATACCTAACTAAACCTGATAATTTTTACTAAAGTTAAATACTTACAAAACATTTAATTCTAATATTTAATTTATGGCTGAATAGTTTTTTCTTTAAACTAAAATTGATTGACTAGAACGCGGCAAATTGTAACATTTTCTTAAAAAAACTTATAACAAAAATCAATTGTCAATTGTTGACAGATTGTAACTAATAAAAAAAATATAGAATTTCACTTGGTATTTTTAATGCTTTATAATTTTCTTAATTATTTAGCAAATAAAATTTTCCCTTTTTAGCCACCTTGGCCCCTGCCACGTATGAGCGATATTAATTTCTGTACCAGTAATTTATTACAAAATCTTACGTAACTTTTTCTTTTGTTTAGTCAAGTTAATTGAAAATTTTTAATTGCAAAAATACAAATTTATTTATTTTCTTGTTACAATACATTCTTAGGACTTGTGTTGTAATGTTATTAAATGACTACAAGTACATTTATTTTTAGTTAAAACGTCTTAGAAACAAAATTTGCTACAAAGGCCTGGGTAATGTCATTTTGGGACAGAACATCTTTCCCCGAAGTTGTATTAGAGAAAGTGTTAGATAACAAGGAAATGTTTGGGGAAATGTTCTAACAAAATGAAATAACAGTTTGCACGTGTCAATCGATTGTTTAATTTAAATAACTTTGTTGAATGTATTGAGAAGAGATTTAAAATAAAAATTTAAATAGGTTTTTCATTAGAATTGGCTGAAAAATATGTGAAAACAGGATGTATAATTAGGATGTTATGACCACATTTCTAACAGTTGCGTGAGTTAGTGTTATGTATATATGTATGTGTATGTAAAAATCAAAAATTCCTATTTAAAAGTTATTGCTAAATAACGATCGAACTACTAACTAACTAACTAACTAACTACTAACTAACTAACTAACTAACTAACTAACTAACTAACTAACTAACTAACTAACTACTAACTAACTAACTAACTAACTAACTAACTAACTAACTAACTAACTAACTAACTAACTAACTAACTAACTAACTAACTAACTAACTACTAACTAACTAACTAACTACTAACTAACTAACTAACTAACTAACTAACTAACTAACTAACTAACTAACTAACTAACTAACTAACTAACTAACTAACTAACTAACTAACTAACTAACTAACTAACTAACTAACTAACTAACTAACTAACTAACTAACTAACTAACTAACTAACTAACTAACTAACTAACTAACTAACTAACTAACTACTAACTAACTAACTAACTAACTAACTAACTAACTAACTAACTAACTAACTAACTAACTAACTAACTAACTAACTAACTAACTAACTAACTAACTAACTACTAACTAACTAACTACTAACTAACTAACTAACTAACTAACTAACTAACTAACTAACTAACTAACTAACTAACTAACTAACTAACTAACTAACTAACTAACTAACTAACTAACTAACTAACTAACTAACTAACTAACTAACTAACTAACTACTAACTACTAACTAACTAACTAACTAACTAACTAACTAACTAACTAACTAACTACTAACTAACTAACTAACTAACTAACTAACTAACTAACTAACTAACTAACTACTAACTAACTAACTAACTAACTAACTAACTAACTAACTAACTAACTAACTAACTAACTAACTAACTACTAACTAACTAACTAACTAACTAACTAACTAACTAACTAACTAACTAACTAACTAACTAACTAACTAACTAACTAACTAACTAACTAACTAACTAACTACTAACTAACTAACTAACTAACTAACTAACTAACTAACTAACTAACTAACTAACTAACTAACTAACTAACTAACTAACTAACTAACTAACTACTAACTAACTAACTAACTAACTACT